GATGCGTAAACAAGGTCAGACAGCACGCTTTTAATTAAGGCCTGATAAGTAACTGGTTCCTTATTCTGGTTTTCGTTCCTTTTGGCGATTTTACGTTCGGCTTTGAAGGATATCGAGAGAAGAATCCTTCAGAGTATTTCCAAAATCTATGGGGCTACATCAAAGACACCTTGAATAGGACAAAAAAGAAAGGGTCAATTTAAAAATTGACAACGCCGATTATAACGTTTAATCGGGCGTCATCGGAGAATCAGCTACAAGGCAATAAAAATATAGAGCAGCAACTTCACTATTTTTGTGTCAGCGAAGCATCCATACCTCAATATATTTAACTGTTTCAAATATTAGCGAAAAAAAGTGAAAAAAAAAACTACTAATAGCCGTCAATACAATTAAATAACCAAAAATGTGAATTCTGGCCCAAAAAGCACATGAAAACAATTGATACGCTATACGAAATTTTATATAGTTTTGTGAAATTAGCGTAATCGTTTTTTAAAAAAAATACGCAAACCAGTTTTGTCTTGATCTTTGAAATTTGTTGTTAAGGTTGAACAGTTCTGAAATAGTTTGATGAAAACCGTCTGACGCAAGGCTTCAGCCGTAGAGCAGGTTTTTGTTTGAACAAGTCTCTATAATCTTATGCGACCAAACGGACTGCAACAAAATTGAATGAACATTTCTGATCAAATTTTCTGAGTTTGAGTTTAGCAAAAAATTATGCTGCTGAATCGACTCTGTGCTCTAAAAATGAAACAAAAAATTTTCTTCGATTTTTTTCCGTAGTTACCATGTATTTTTGGAATTATGATGTTATTTCTTGCCTAATAAGGCTAACTTAACTCAAACTTTTTAAATCGTATCGCTCAGCGCAAGTGTATAGATTTGCATTTCGTACGTTTTGTCTTGAAATATTGAAGTCCTACGTAACACATTTTTCGAGACGCGCCTCATGAAATTTCATTAAATTCATTATGAATTTGCCAAATTTCATAACTCTACATATTTTGCGATGATAAAAGTTGCTTTAACGCCTAATAAAATTTCATCATGAGGTCTTATAGCTTTTATAAAAAACATTACGTGGGCAAACTGAGCATTTTGTGAATTGTAAGCGGATTCCAAAATAAGCAAAAATCAGATTTGTCGCGGAATCCGCAGCATTGCTATTTTTCTTTGATCTTCTTTGCTTCTTTGGATCTACTGACACTGCATTGATAAAAATCGCTCCAAAAACAGGCAACATTGCGGAATCCGCAACAAAATATATGGAGCCCGGAACCAGTTTGTGGAATCAATAATCAAAAAATAATATATATGTTTAGTAATTTTAAGCTGTCGCTGAATCCGCAACTGTCACTGGAATCCGCAAACAGTAAGCGGAATCCGCGAATTATAGATGAACTCCGCAAACTGTAAGCGGAATCCGCAAATTGTATGCCGAATCCGCATAAAGTTGTGGAATCCACTTTCAGTTGTGGAACCCGCTTACATTTGGGGAATCCGGAACAACTACCTATATTAGCTCGTTGCGGAATCCGCAACAAAATTAATGTGCCGACAAAATTGGTGTTACAAGTATTTATACGCGGAATCCACCTAAATTTTGTTTGCAGAATCTACCTAGATTTTGGAACATGTTTACAGATTTGTCTCTGGAATCCAGGAACATACAGACAAAAAATTGTGCGCCTATTCAGTGCAGTTTGGCCTCTTAATGAAAAGAAAATTGATTATAACTATATCAATATTTTTTTCTTGATAAAGCTGAAAAAAGACTTATTTTTTGTGCATTTTTGCTTTATATGCATAACACTCCTCGCTGGTTCTTGCATGAAAAAAGCGTTGCTCCGTGTTATCTGGTTCCGTCTGAGTATTTGCTCTAGTTTTCTGCATTCACTTCTGATGTTTTGTAATTCCATATTATTTCTCGTAGGCCAGCGATGGTCTTTTTCTAAAAGTCTGCGATTAAGTTGAATTTCCCTCCCACCTTAATTACTGTTAATTGTCCAATAATGTTGGGCGGAGATGCTCGCCTAGCCGTTTGCAAAATTGTTCCTTCCAGTAGGTTCTGCCTCCGCCAAGAATTGCCGTTTTGGCTCTGAGTCTGGTTCTTCTCATACACAACAGTTACTGAACGATAATCATCCCATGATGAGTCCAGGTATTTTACCGGTAATATTGATTTTGTGGTAATCGCATTTGCATCCATTTTTTCTCGTGCTTTGAATTCTTTATCACCATCCAAAATAATGAACTTTTCTTTTTTGTCAAACTTTTGCTCCAAGTTTGTCCAGTTCTGCATAGTCTTTCTTGCATTGTCTGATACGAATATTTCAGTCCATTCACGCAATACGATGGGCTTGGTTATTGGGTGGTTGTGTTTGTCTTCTGTTTGATCAGAGTCGTTCATTTTCGGGCGGTAAATTTCCAAATTGAGATTCTTAGTCCGTGATGATGACAGAGTCGGAGCTTCTCACTTTTTGAGACCTTTATCTTCTGCACTTTTATGTGTTGTCGTCGCTGTTATTGATTTCAATCAGTTGATTTTGTGAATAGTTTTCCATTCTTCAACCAAATTTTTCTTAATCGCTCCTTTCGCCGTATACTATCTATGAAGGCTAATTTGATGTTGAATCCTTTTTTGATTTTGTGCTTTGGCTCGTTTATTTTTTTCGTTTTGCTCGTTTATTTTCCAAACACTATACCACAATGTTCGTTTTTGTTTTATTCGTAGTGTCTCGCTGATGGACTTCGTTTTCTAACTGAATCCTATGTCGCTTTAGTTGTCTTTGTTGTCTTTTTTTCCTTCGCTAACACCCCAACAACCGGGAACCTAATTACATTCTCATGGTTCCAGCTCAACTCAACTTTTCTGTTGACTGTTTGCTTCTTTCGAAAAATTTTTGATAACGGTGGATTCGACTGTCTCCTGATATGACCTTCAAAGAGGGTAGTTATATTTTTTGATATAATGTGGACTTCATGCAGTGTTATACATAATTTGAAGGATGTTCCTTGATCTACCTTTACATGCGCTTGCTGTGACTTTAAGGCTATGATGGGGTTTTACCAACGAATTGAAATGTGATAATTTGCCGTATCCTGTATCTAGTCAGTACAGTTTTCTCACGTTTTCGACCATTGATTCACCGACAAAAATGTTGCTTGTCCTGCCTTTAAACCAATTGGGTACACCAGCAAGTTGGTGTAATAAAATTGTTGCTCTTCTAGCATAGGCCTAATCAAAAATTTGCTTGTTCGGGAGATTTGAAAATTGATCGCTATTACAAATAAAAGGTAAAATTATGTTCCATAGTCATCAAGTAATGCTCCTTTTTGCTTGAGAGCTTTTTTGCTAATTTTAATTTTACATTTTAAACCATCCATCTTCCCGCACGGCTAAAATAAGGAATTTATGGTCCAAGCAAATGAATCTATCCGGCACATGCAAGTCTTTTCTAGGCTGGTGGAAATAGCGATCCAGTGACTGGCATCTCTTTCCTTTTTTCTCAATAATGCAGCCACGAAGCTCTCGTAACATGTCATCTCAACTCGTAAGTTCTCCTATCAAAGTGGGTAAGAGATCTTGAATGCAAAATAAGTGAACAATGCGTAAAAGTCAATATAGTAAATTAAGTTTGCGCAAGAAATTTCAAAACACCGGATTTGGAAAAGACTCATACAAAGCTTAAATAAAATTCGAAAAAACCCGCAAACAGAAAAACAGGCATAGAGAAAATTTCAACGCTTTCGGAATTTTCAAGGACAGTTAGTGGCTGTAACTCAAAAAAGATATTTTGACATCAAACGGAAAAGTCAATCATAGTAAGTTAAGTTTGCTCAAGAAGTTGCTAACGTACGCTACTAAATGAAATGTTCAAAAATCAATTTCCTACCAACGATCATCGACCCACAATGGATTTGCTGAGAAGACTTTTGTTTTAATTTTAGGAAAAAAGCTGTCTTGAGAGCTCTTAAACTTGAGAGAATTTAGTTAATAAAATAGTATATATTCCTAAATCTTTTTAAGGGTAGTTTTGTTGTTTTTACGAAAACTAGATATTGAGACAATCCCGAAATCTGCCGAATTCTACCTGCAATATTTTGAAAAAGAAAAAAAAACGTTGCAACATTTCATTTTTATATTTTTTACCGCAAATGTTTCGGCATATTTTCATTTTATTCATTGACTGAACCGTATCATTGCTTAAACATGACAATTTTTTTTCTGAAAAAGTTTCCTGCTGTTTTAGTTGGGTAAGTTAAGCCTAAGTCATAAGTAGTTCTCCATAGATAAACATTGATTATGAAAAAAAAACACATTTTTGGAAGAAATTTTGAAATCTCAATGCAAAATTAAGGGCGAGCAAAAACTATTAAAATTTCGAGATAAACTAAACGGTCATATTTGTTTACTATACATATCTATCGTTTCGCACACTCTATTTAACGTGCATTGGGCAAAAACAAATAAAATTGCGGAAACATATAAAAAAATTTTGAGCAAAATCTTTCTTTAATTAAATTTTTTACATTTTTAAATGACTTTTATTGCATCAAATACCGTGCTTTGAAATTTTTCTGCTTCGAGTGACTACATTTTGTGTAGAGATTAGAATAATTACTGTTAGCTGCCTGCTTTGCTCTGGCCTTATCAAATGGTCTCAGTATTCCAATAAGGCTCATAAAATGTAGATTTTATTTTTATGGTACCCACGAGGGTGGTCTTTTCAGTAAAAGATATGCTTTAAGAATAATTGTTTCGTTGAAGTATTGAGCTTTAGGAGTGGTGACGACATCGCTGAATTCAAAATCCATAAAAATCGATATGAAGGTAGTCTCAAGGTGATATTGAGAGTTCGTGTTTTCCAATTTGCAACTAAACTTAGACTTTAATGAAAACGCCTCAAGTCTTAATTGAAGCTCGGGAATGGAAAAAATGTTTGCCTCAAATTGTTGTTTGCTTTTCAAGCACTTCTGGTGGAGCTTTTAAAAAGGAACGAAACAAACATTTGAATTCATCCCATATTGCTTATATAAATAATTGAACACATTGACCGTCTTCAGGAACCCTTTGTCTTTCTTCGTCAGCCTCTTCAGGGGGGAGTATTTCCATTTGGGTCTACAATTCAAGGTCAAAAATTTAATTAACAGTGTCGGTTTGATTTTAAGCAACGCCTATTTTCCGCTATCGCTGTTTCCTGTCGTTAGTCAGATTAAAAAAAAATTGGGCCGTTTTAAATGAACGAGCATAATGTATATAATGTATGAATTAGGTTTTCAGCCTCCCCTAAAATCCCCGTTATGGCACCCATTATGTTTTGAACATTTGCAGGTTGATTTGAAGTCATTTTATGAAATTGGGTAGCTTCAATGATTGGGTTGACCATGACATGAGGCAAGGGAAGGGTAGGTTTTTAATTTCTGAAAAATATACGTGCCATGATATAAAAGCTAAATTTTGAAGCCAAACGGTTTTAATTTTAAGCGCCGAAAATGTTTTTTCAATGAAAATTATTATTGCAGTTTTTGCATTTTTTTTTTTGGTTTCTTAGTAAAATTTATATGCATGCACAACAAATTTGTGAAAATTGAAATTTACGTATGAAGAAAAAAGCAGAATCACCTCAGCCTACCACAAGCCCCATCGCTTCTCGGGGTTCATGGCCTCCCGCGCCAACACCATCCTCTTCTCAGGGCCATACACCAGAAAACCTCCTGCTTGTGGGTAAAAATCAGGCGATACTTCCCTCTTCAGGGTCCGTTTGGGAAAATAGTCCACTTCCGGTCGGACCATCTCCGCTACTGCCATCGCCTTCTCTTTTTCAGCAACGTCGGCGGCCAGACTTTCGATATTGGAAAGGACGTTTATAATCTCGTTCTCCTCCTCAATATCCTCGTTGAATTTATCCACCAGTTGATTGTCGAGCATTTGCAGAAAAGTGAACAGATAGTTCTCGTTTCCCTCTGCGACTAGCCAGTCGCTGAAGTCGTCGATCTCGGCTGGACTCATGCTCTCGAGAAGCTCCACCATTTCTTCTTCGGTTTGCTTCAGACCACCGTATGGTTCCTCCTCGTACAACTGCTCGTAGTACTCCTCGGGTTCTATTTCTTCTGTTTGATGTTAATTATGATCCACCCATTAGGTATAGATTCATAGTCATTTGAAGTGATTCTGCGGCATTTGGATTTGGTATTTGTGAAAAATTTGTAAGTTGATTCTTTATGATTTCATGTTGTTGTAAGTAATAGGGTAGCGGGATTTCATTTTGCATTTGCGTTGGTTGATAATAATCTGTATTAACTGGGTTTTGTGAATAAAAATTATTATTTTGAGATGCATGATTTGGTCTAGGTTGTCGCATATGTTGTTCTTGTGTATATGGTTCAAAAATATCTGGTTGATTTACGTGATAAGAGTAGAGTCTTTAATTTTGAAAAAATTGTTGATGATTTTGATTATAAAAATCTTCATCATCTGATGAAAGATAATTATGTGTGTAATAAATTGTTTTATGTCTATATTGGTTTTGCTGTTTATTGTTTCTATTTTGCTGAAAAAATGGATACTTTTCACTTTGGTCTCGTCAAATGCGTGGGTAATCATTAAACTTTACTGAGTTTGATGCTGGTTGTCGGAAAATTTGTCTTTTAGATGTTTTTGGTCTATTTACATAGTTATAATTGTGTTCTGCAAAATTATTTCTTGTGAATGTTCTTTGTTATTGGGTTGGTTTCGTCATTGGTCTAATTGTTTGGTAATCCATTTGTGAATAATTTGGAACAACGGAAGGTTTTCGTAGATTGTAATGTTGCCTGTGGTAATGTTGGGTTTTTAGGTCTTGGAGTTGTAAGATTGGGGTGTATCGGTGAAATACTTTGTTGTGTTGTTGTTACTGTTGTAACTACTTCTTCATTTGCGAAATGGGATGGTGTTTGAATATCCTGTTGTGTACGATTTCAACTTCCATTTAGGTTTTCTTGTTGTATGAGGGTTCAGGATAAACTAATATTTCCTATTCTCTCGGGTAGAAATGAGTTATAGTTTAAAGGTGTTGCGTCAGTTGTGAGTGGATATACTTTAACATAATCTTTGTTAATTGAGATTGTACTGATTGCTTGACTTGAAATATCTGTTGGTATGTTCAGGAATAGTAGATGAGACAATTCAGGGTCCCAAACATAATCTGATTGTTCTGCTAATACAGTGTCGTCAGTTGAATTTCGAAGTCTAAAATTTTTTCTTGCTTGTGAGATTAAATCAGTATTATGTGTGATTTAATCAATGATAAACCATGCTAAGAATTTTTGTAAATGGTGTTTAACATTCTGCGAAACTTCGTTACTGGTTAAATTTTCACGGATTGTGTTTAAAAATTCGGAGAATATTGCAATTTCATGTCTTACAGTTGTGTGTTTTGATGTTTGAACTGGTGAAGTTCCTTGGGATTCTGTTTTTTTATTATATATAGATAGCTATAAATTATTTTAAATACATCGTTAGTGAATATTTAAATCGCTCTTTGTGAATTTTGATGTTGTATTTTTTTTATGTTTTCTGTGAATACTTTCAAAAGTTCTATATCTACGTCGTCTGTTTGAAGTTGATATCTACCATGAAATTTACTTGATGAATGAATTTCTATGGTATAAATTCCGTACTTTTGTGTTAGGTTACATATTCTTTTTAGATAGTGATCAATAATTTGTCTTTTGATTTTTACTTCTGGAAATTCTGCTGTACATGGACTATTTCCTTTTTCAAATAAATTTGCGATTAAAGTTTGACAAAATTGTGTTTGTCCTCTATCATCAGTGAGTGAATGGATTTAAAATAGGAGGATGGAGTTTTTGTCTTTGCTTTCTTCAATTGTACTCATTTTTGTGTTTCATGACTTTTAATTTGTAGTTTTTAATGTGTTTTATTGGTTGATTCCAATTGTATAGACGTATTGGTTTGTTTTGTATGTCTTTTTTATTCTTCTTTTCCTTGTATTGATGATTGTGATGGGGTTTCTGAATCAGAAAAAAATAATTTATCGTTAACTTGGTAATTTTTGTTTATGGAGTCTTCATACCGATAAAGTTCTTCCAAATTATTTGTTTCTGATTCGGAGACTGCGTTCCTTCTCTTCGAAAATCTTTTTCGTGTAATCTGTCTTTGTTTGCTTAAAATTTTTCTTCTGATTGTTTGTCGTTTTGTTCTATTATATCCTACTGATTGTTTTTCTGGAATGATTACGAGGTCATATTTTTCGTTGTTTATTTCACAATTGTGTAATATGATTGTTTGTTTATTTTCTAAATTGTCTAGTGACATAAGGTTTAGGATGACGGATGCAATATTGGGATTAGTGATTTTTAATGTCTTAAACTGTTAGTTCTTACGATTTTTACGGGTTAGCCTAACTTGAGTCGTGTATTTCAGGGTTGGAGAGAAAAGTATATATCGATTCCTGAGAATGATTTTTACTTTCTCGTGGCCAGTCTAAATTAAGGTGTTAACTTACTTAATCTTACTTAGGGGTAGTGATTGGGTTCAAGGGTTGAAGAATAGTAAATCGATCCACAAGGTTCAGGTATAATTAGAACACAAGTAGTTCGTTAGGTACTATTTTAGACTTACTAAGTTTAAGTATTATCCTGGATCAGGTAAGAGGGTGGGTCAAGTGAAGGATCAATAACCGAAGTTCTTCACTGTTTTTCCTAATTGGAATGGTTAGTGTGATTGAAAAATTTCTATCAGTCCTGGGTCTTGAGAAACGTTTGAGATCGTTAGACACTTTATTAAATGTGAGGGGGAGATTAAAATTGTTCTATTTGATCCAAGGATAAGCCTTGATGATCAGGATATAAAACTAATGAAATTAAATTCAATTTAGGTAAACGTGAATTAAAGATCCAAGGAAAGCCTTGATGATCTGTTAAGTTTAAAAAGGTTTATTTTAAATAAAAGTAAAAAATAGGATAGGATAGGCCTTTATAATTTAAATTAAGCTTTAATTGATAAAAAATTTTAGTTTATTAGTTTTTGATGATGTTAGTGGATTTATGTTTCGCTTTTATAATTTAGGTGATGAAGCTGAGATGAAGAGATGATTTATATATATATATATACTAACAATTTGTGTGTTTACTAACTAATTTTTATAATTTTATTCTCAATAAACTTTTTTCCAGATATCTTTTTTTAATTTACTGCAGATTTGGAGGGAACGACTAGGGATGTTTTTATCAGTCGTTATTGTACAATAATTAGTTTAGCGCCTGTAATTATCGTTGTAGATTTTTCTTCAAAGGTACTATGTTTGTAAATGAAAATCTAAATTCATTGCTAATAAAATTCTAAATATAAAAGTTTGTATTGGCCATGAAACTTATGGGTAAGTTCCTTTGTAATCGTAAATCGTCTTTTGTCCGAGGTCTTTTTCCAATACCGGGTAGTTCTCGTATTGTTCGGAATAATGGCTCTTATCTATTGAGTTGTAGAGACATTTCAATTAAATTACTGTCATGTAACGTTTTTGAGAATGTTTTTTGTCTAAGTCTAATCTATTAGTCTAACAATTAGCCGCAATATGATTAATAAATTAGTCAAAAATAATCTGAAAACTAGTTGTGATACAAATAGGCTGTGTTAGGACTTTGGGAAGCTAAATTCGTATCTATCATGTTCGAATCTACCATGCTTACCATTTTAATTTTTCAATCTGGTTTTTTGGAACTTCAACTCTACTTAGTTTAAGCTGTAACTGTTGCGTTCTAAGACTCGTTTTGCGAATCTTACAAACGCTTTGCGAGATCATTTGCTTCGATCATTTTTCGATGGCGCATAGCAGGGTACTTTTATCTTAAATCGCAGCAATAGTGGCTAAGTGTCTTGCATTCTATCAATCGAGGTTGACGTTCCTTCGGTCGAACCATTTACGAATACCATTGCTTCGGTCGCTCCGGTGGCGGACACAATCCTTTGCTGAAAAGACCTAATTGTTGCTACGAAGGTCTGTAAATTGGTCGCAACCTAGTCTAAAAATTTGTTGCAATATGGCCGCGAAACTGGTCGTGGTATGGTCTGAAATTTACTCGCAATTTTTTCTTAAGAGCCGCTTTAGTTTTTGAGGTAGTTGAACTGGGGTCTATCATCAGAATGAGAAAAATAATCGAAATGAGTCAACAGATATGTCAATTTAATGCCTTTTCAGTCGTTGTTCAAATAATTTTTCGAATGAATTTTTTTTCACTGTGTTGAGAAAAACCAGCTTGAAATTTTTGCATTTTGTCTAATTTCCAGCAAGCTCCACGGGCCACTAAGTCTTGTAATATATAGGCCTATAATAATTAAATAATAATCCACTAATAGGCCCATTTTAATCTAAATCTCAATTAAATCGTCAAGTTTTAGTTTTGCTCCAATGAAATTAATTGGCGAAATTTTTTTAGCGCCGTTTCCAGAAAACACCTCTTCATTGTAAGAAACAGCATTGAGCGATGATGCTCACGCACACACATACCCGGCACACACACCTACACACACACTCACACTCGCACGCGCAGTTTTGAATTCAATAAAGGAAGTACCACCTGAAAGTTCACTTACCTAATACTAAACACAGAGAAGTTGATGGCAGACAGTTTCCACTTCAGACTATTCAACCAAAACATGTGACACCATTTGGTCAAAAACAGCCTAGACAAACTTAAAACTTTTCAACGTGCAAGTGAAATTTTTTGACAAGCAGTAAAACGTTGAAACGCTTATTACATATTGCTAATCATATATACCACTTATCAGGCACAAAGTTGGGCTGATTTTCGTTTTAGACTATAGGCGGGGGAGGATGCATTTACCTATCAGCTCGATTGAATAAATTACTTGCCTTACGCGACAGTGAAAATGTGCTTCTTTAGAAGATAAAGAAAATGCAACTTCAATCCAATAAAACCAGTACCAAAACTGGCACCTGCAATTCAGCGTTAACAATTACATCAGCCAACATTGAATAATCTGATGAGTAACTGTGTTGAGGAATCATATATCTTCTGAAACATTGAGTTATAACCGAGGTGGTTAACTCATAGAGTAATTTCGGATAGGGTACACCGTCTGCTCGTCACGCTATCTTATTTTCGGCCGGATAGATTCGTGCAACTTCTTAGTCTAATACCGATCCTAATCTTACTCTTATACTATCTAGTCTCAGGGTGTTTAACTAGTCTCTGCTAGGCTCAATAGATCTAGGGTATACTGGTTTCTTGCGGCTGCTGAAGTCTTCTTGGAGAGTCAACTAATTTCTAAGTTAAATTCAAATCTCTCTGGTGCTGAAATTACAAGTAATTCCAGCACTTACAAATAAGTGGGTTGTTAGTTAGATGGATCATGATTGGTTAATATTAAATACTTTACAGTGGTAAAATATCTAATTTATCCAATCATAAAATGTAGTTTAGATCAGGTTCCACCATTATCTTTCAGTTATTTTTGAAAATATTCAAAAAGCACTTTGTATCCTCTGAACGCGGAACAAAGCAATTTTGTCTCGCTGGTTATAATCACTGAGAGGAAAAACAATTTGTAGGACTGCCTTAAGGAAAGGCAGGGCAAACTTG